TCACGACAAAATTGCAAATTCTTGTTTGGGAGAAATATAAATTCTATAAAAATGAATAACGGATAAATGAAAAGCAAATGTGTATCTTATGAAATGTGTTATTAAAAGTAATATCTAATTTTATCTCTTAAATTACAACAAAATTATAATTTAAATCAAACAAGTATTGAAGCACTACAATATTAAATATAATGGTACGGAGAAGATTTTAATTCTCAAGGAGAAAATTAATTTTACAGGTGAAAATACATCTCGAAATTTTGACATTGAAATAAAAAATCAGAAATCAAATTGACAATTAAACTATTAACAAATTACAAAGCAATCCTCTTCAATAATAAAGTCAACGGATAATATTCACAGTCAAAAGCCATTCACCCGATTGCTCATAATCCAAAACCGAAATCCAAACCGGATCGTTATTTTACGAGTTCTGAAACCCAGCCGACATCAGTATCCGTATTGCTGGAATCGACTCGATGGAGCGAGTTTTCCTTACTGAGTTTTGCGTAGATTTTCGCCCGTAGGTCCCTACCAGACTCCACACTCTCCATAACTGGTTCCTCTTCTTCGCCGGTTTCTGAGATGTCAAACGCCTTGAATCCGGACCGAGTCCGGGTCCAAGCCGGAGTTGAAGGCAAACTCGAGAATCCGGGTAGGAATCTTGTCGGACTCCGAGGTGACCCGAAACCGGATCCTATCTGAAGGCCCCATGTTGGCGGGCTCAAGCTAAGGCCCATCCGCACCTTGTTAATCTGCATACCCCGTATCGATTCGGCAAGTCCACTCACCGAGTTACGACTTGATCCCCTCGGCGACTTAGGTGGCGACCCATTCGCCGGAGAGGACGCCGGGGAATGCCCATAAGCCGGGGAATGACCAAATCGGCTCGGTGAAAAGTCCGGGCTCGGTGAACATGCACGGAGCTGATCCGGTGTGTGGGCGAAAAAACAGACGCGCCGCCGGCAATGGGTGCCATCCTTACAAGGCTGTGTACGGTAGCGAGCCGGGTGGAGCCAAGTCTCAAATACGCCGTGTGCGTACTCGCATGAATCTCCCTTTCTACACAGTCCCTTCTTGAAGTCAGGGCAACCGGCGCAGGAATACTGAAACTTCCGGGGATCCCGCCGGCGAGCCTTCTCGCCGGGATGAACAAACGGGCATTCCGTCCAGTCATGTGACCTAACACGTAAACACTTCTTCACCTTAAACTCAAACATCCGAAAATCATCTGACGAAAATGCATCTATCGGAAAATCATAATCAACATCATCAATCCCATCTTCTTCTACTATTACGACGCCGTTTACTTCTCCTTCCATTCCGTCGCCATCTTTCTTCGACTGCAAATAATGTTGTAATGCTGCAAAAGTGTTAAGCGGCGAGTGAACAGTGGGCATTTGATCATCTACAAAACGGAAGTCACATGCCGGCGGGATTTGAATGGTTGGATTTGATCGAGGTGGGTCTCTGATCATCATCATTCAGAGGTTTCAGTTCCCTGTACAGAAACATACTCCTACTACTACAATGGATTACTTGCT